GTTGTTTGGTCGTGTGGGGGTTGCGTTCATTGAACGCCGCCTTTCCTTGTTGATCTTGTTTAATATTATCAGATTTATTTTCATTTTCTTGATCATTATTAGATATAATGTGCATGCTTTGGAATGTTATAAGGAAGACCCGAGAAAGAGAAAGAAATCAGTCTCGGTCAGCTATCACACATCTTTAGATCCACACACCTGCGGATGTTTCTTAAGCCGAAATTCGCCATTTTCCTGTCTGAATGCTCGATTCTGTCGGTGCTAGGTAGCATTGATAGTAGCTTGCAATTACCACTTCTGTCCAACAGGCTGGCTAAAAAAACCGAGGCTACAACATATTTAATTTTCGACGTTCTTAAAGATTTCCATTTTTGCTCATTAAATGTCAAAAACTCTAACAAAAAATTAAAAAGTTTATACTCTCGGTCTTTGCCAACGAAAACATATTTTAAGGGAATGAAATAAATTCATAAAGACTGAAACTCATTCACGAGGAAATATAAAAATTCAATAACGCAGCTTCTTCATACAAAATAATTGTATAAAGGCTGTAGGACACTGTCTACAAAACACAGGGATGCAAATTACATTACTAATAATGCCGATGGCACAGCATAAGATAGAAAGCCTGCCGACAAATTAAATTCTACGCTTATTGGTAATATATACACAGATAGAAGTAAAAAGGGAGAAGATTGCTTTTCACTATAAATCAAACGGATGGATGGTTTGTTAGTTTTAGTTATTTTAATTGCGGCATTTCAAAATAGAGAAAAAAGAAACCTTAAAGAAAGCGGAAAAATAAATTGAAAATGTTGCAGGTTCGGTTTGATTGAGCCTTTTTATGGACAGTATTAGAAATTGAAAGCTACCGTCCCCACTCCCTAGTACCGGCTCAAGCAGAACATGAACTGGAAAATAATTAAATTTTGAAACATACGCAGATGTGTCAGATGGCGGTTATCATGGCATCTTCAATATGACACGTTAGTGCTAGTCAATAAATAGCGGCATATAGTCCCCCAAGTAAAAAATGTATGTGTTTTTTATGAAAAACAAAACAAAACAACAACAGTAAAAACAAACAAACAAACCCAAAACAAAACAAAAAATAATTGGTGAAACTCAATAATAGACATAAGTTTTACATAATTATGTAGCATATAGCAATCTATTGATATCTCAACACATACTCACTTAAACAAATGAAAAACAATATTTTCTATCTGGGAGAAATTGGATTACATGTGAGCTGCGAGAAATTGGAAAACATGTTAGATGGATGAGCAAGCATTTTTGATAATATTCCGAGATACATTGTCATTGAAATTGTTATACCGGTCAAATATTTGACTAACAAATAGAAATTGGCGTTTCCAAGATAACGTGTGGTAATGATAAAGTTATTAAAACGAGAGAACTTGTTAAATTGTTGAAAAGAACGGTGAAATCCCATGAAACGAATAGTATGAGTTTTTGAATATCCGATTGTTACGGGAGAAAACTACATCTTGTTGAAAAAGCATTAAAATGAACGTGGTACAAAAGTTTGTTCTTATTGACAGAGCAATACCCATCAATAACGTCGATGCATTTTAAACAATGAATATTACAAATATATTTTTATAATAAAAGGGTAAAACACAACTGTGTGTTACATTTAAAACCTTCCTAAAATGAAATGGAATTAACACGGTCATTTTGAATGAACAAAATGAAATATACATATATTTTTTTCTTCAAACTTGACGATTTAAAAAAATCACATTAAAATATATTGTAGCATTTTATTTATTGTCATACCAATTCAATAAATGAAAACAAAGATCAACAAAGAATGGGGTCATTCAATAAACGGTTTTTCCTGCACAAAACAGCAACATCAGGCGATCAGTAAGGAGCTCAGCTGTATCCGAATAAAAACAGGAGAGGGAAAATCACGGACGGGTAGTTATAATAGATAATTCAAAATAGAAAATAGATAATCCAAAATAGGAAATCATAGAAACCTACAAGGGATATAAATAATATATAAAAATTAATAAAAATACCAAACAAAAGGAAAAATGTAGCCGGGAAAGGGGTCTTTGGACAGGGGAAGGTGGGGGAGGTGAGAAATAAAAAAAAAAAACACAACGAAATAACTTGAGAAACATTTCTTCATATCATTCAAAGTGGGGTCTTGGGAAAAATAGAAACAAATGGAAATATATTTTCTGATTAAAGTTCCATTTTTATGCACCTTTTAATATGAATAACATTTAATGAAATAGTAAATATAAAGTTGTGAACAATTGGAAAAAACAATTTATTGAAGGAAAGATTGTTTTCATTTAACCAACTACAGATAAAATAAGACTTTTGAAAAACCGGTTGAAAATGCATAAAACTGAGACGCTAGGCAATGGTTTAATAGTAAACCATTCCGTTGATACAATCTGGAAACAAACTAATCCCTCATGTCATATACCACGTGAGTCTTTAAAAGGAAATTTGAAATAGTCACAAGTTTGCTTGCGTTTAAATATAATCAATTTGCAGTTGCAATAATGTAAATTTTGCGACTGACTAATGAAAATCCATTTTAAAAACATACATATTTATATTCCAGATAAAGTGCTGAGTGCGATTGGTTTAATTTATTGAAAAGTTGTTCAACGATCAATCCAAGAAAAGGAATTACACACATATAAATAGATAATTCCATCAATCACTTTTCTGTTTTACCTGAATAAAATTGAAAAGAACTCAGCAGCTTCCATTAATATCTTATTTCAAACGGTAGACGATTAGGAAACATTTCAAGATGATCCATTGTATTTATTTACAAAAGATATCTGGTTGCTTATTCAATAACATAAATATGATCAACTAATTACACTATATATCATACTTTATAACCATAAATGTTGTTTGAAAACAGGTTTTAGAAAACACACTGCCTCGAGATCAAAGAGCAAGCTGACGGTGCTTATTTCACACAAAATAGCTTTCACTTGTTAAACAAAAGCAAATAAAATATTGAATCAGTTTATAACCAATGATTTGATATTACGAACAAGAACTGATTAAATGATGCAATTGCCCGTTATCAGTGTAGATAAACAATCATATAAATAAACATCCTTGTAAATACACATCAGTGTACACATGTTAAATATATTATAACAAATACGTTTTTACTCATCGTTTGAAAAATATATATATTCATTAAATGAAGCAGCGAGTTTGGAAGTGTTTAATTCTGTAAATGAGCCGTGTCACGACAAAACCAACATAATGGGTTTGCGACCAGCATGGATCCAGACCAGCCTGCGCATCCGCGCAGTCTGATCAGGATCGTTGTTGTTCGCTTACAAACCCTATAACAAGTAGAGAAACTGATAGCGAACAGCATGGATCCTGATCAGACTGCGCGGACGCGCAGGCTGGTCTGTATCCATGCTGGTCGCAAACGCACTATGTTGGTTTTGTCATGACGCGGCTCAAATGTATTTTGAAATTCCATATTTTGCCCATATACGATATAACACCTCTCAACAAGACCGTTTGGCGTTTAGATGATAATAATAATCATCTGTCGAGGAGAGGCAAAACACATTCACACGCCAAATGGAAGAGAATAGCACGGATAAAATAAACACAGAACTCTAAGCAAGCATGCTTACCATTATAGTCAAAATACATCACCTTTATGAATACCATTCCTTAGTCAATCAGATAGAATGCTGTTTACCTCCAACCATAACGGTACTTAACACACATGCACTCACGCACGCGCACCAAATCGCACACACACGCACACACGTTCACACATGTGAATAAAAATAAAATACAGAAAGGATCAACATTAGGTAAATGAAGGAGAACATCAAATAGAAGATTTAAAAACTTGGTAAACAAACAAAGTAAGTTTTTTATTTTTAGAAAAGAAATTGTCAAGATATTGTGTATCGTGAGGTAGACATTTTAAGTTTATCAACAATAGCAAGCATGGGAAAAAGAATTTTTAGTTTACTGGTTTTTACAATCGTTGTGTACCTAAGCTTAAACACTGTCGAAGTGACCTGTAGAACACATACACGTCCTATTTACTAGTGAGAAGCGCAAAAACCTTTTCTATATTTATTAGCTTATTATAAATAATAAAACAATTTTGAAGACCACAAGAATGACCTTTTCCGTTAATTTAAGGACATATAATAAATATATTAAATCAACAGTTCCTAAGTTTATTCAAACATTGGGTTTTATATTGATGTGGCTTTAGTGACGTTCTTTAAAGCAAGTTACACCTGCCTATAGAACTAAAATATTGTGTTGAACAATAGGATAAATATTGTCAAGCTAGTGTGAAATAGTTTATACATTTTTCTCCTGTATAATATTGAATTTTGCCAAGCCTGTGTTTAAGGGCGCACATTATAGTTTACACAGACCACTGTCGTATATAAATCAACTCAATTGGAATAAATTGAAGTCTATAACATTGTCCATGTTAATTACTCGTTATAAAAGAATTGTTCAATAATAGTTCTCCTGATTTGAAAATAAAAAGGAATCCATAAAGAACATCTAGGACTGCAAAATTGAAAAACAAAATTTTTAGGCTCGGTTGGAGCCTGTACATGGACTGTAGATAAAAATGCCGGCTACTGTCTACTTCCAATAGCACCGGTTTAAGCAGACTTTTAAACATTTAAACACTTGTAAGGCGATTTGTTTTTCATTTGAAAACTTCTGCACATTTATGCATACATCGCTTTTTTCATGGAACTTTAAATGTGACACGTTTGTTCTATTCCATGAAACGCAGAGTATAGTTGATAAAAGCATAATGAATACTAGTAGATAGATACACAAATATATTGTATGGGATAAAGTAAACTATCAATTTGCTTGTAAAATGAAGATGTTGATAGGCTTAACGTTATTTCAACATTTCTTTGTATAATGTAATGAAGGGATATATCGAACTGAAGAAACTTTATTGGACTTACCTGGTAGCTAATACAGTATGGTATATCCAAATAATTGACAGTCTGAAAAAGAAAAAATCGATCTTCAATACAAGACTCTGCAATTTTCATAAAGATGTTGTTTTGAACAATTTAGTTTTAAGTTAATGAAATGTTTACACGATACTTCTATCTTCTTTCCGAATCCAAGTTGAGCTTGTAAAGCTTGTAATACATGGTTGCATTTTTGACAATATATTGTGTCCGAATATTCGTGCATTTGTGTAAAAATGCTAAGCAGAATCAGTCATTCCCCAAAGGATAATATTACTGTATCGAATGAATGTTTGTCATACCAATGTACGCAAAAGCTCTGACGTAAATAAACATTTCAATAGATGGCTACTGTCTCAAAACATAGCAACAAATGTTGTTCAATATGATCTTAAGTAACCGATAATGAATACGGTTATGTGCTAATTGGAATTATTCCCTATTGCGATAAATCCAAACAATTAAGCATTTGAAACGTTAATTGCTAGTAAACTGTAGGACATAACCGCTTTGCAATTAATTACGTTAACAAATTATACATCAATAAGGATGCCATAATGTCGGGTTATATACGAGTTATGGTAATGATATTCAAATTTAATATGCTTAAACCAATTAAAGAGTTTTAAAATTTGCCATTAGGAGTGCCTATCTGCTTCAAAATAAGATGTTTTTGTTCAAATAAAATATGTGTTTTGATAATTAAAATTATATTGGCAAACTAAGTGAAAAATACTTTTCCCGACTAAAACAAGCATATTTACATTGGTATTGTATAACATATTTTAGAAGGGTGTCTACTATGTAATAAGTAGTTCTTACAATTCAATATTATTAGTCCGCGAAGATGCAACGTCCATATTAATTGAACAGCTTTTATCATTATTTGCATAATTGTTTGATTTTCAGTATTTGATAAGACACTTTTCATGCTGAAATGATACATTGAAAAGTTGGTACATCGTATGTCCAATGCAGAAATGTTTTAAATAAATCACTTACTTTCTTTTCAATCAATCAATAAATAATCCAGTCGTAATGTCTTGCGTAAAATAGAAAGTTATCACTGCTTTTATAACTATTTTGTAACAGTATGAGTATAGACAATTTAATTGTTAAAATTTATTTGTGTTCTTTAAAAAATATTTCATATACAGTTGTAATAAAAACTATAAAAGTTCAAGCCACTTTGGATTAAGGTTAAATTGAAGCAGTTCATACTAAAATATAATACTTCTTTAATAAGGGCGGGCATTACACAGAATTTACAGGATGAGGGAAATATACTTGTTATTATAAAAATGTAGTGTCTGATTTGGAAAAAAACAAATATACCAAATGACGTCATAGGTTGGATCTGTGTAAATATTTTGATACGAATCCCATAAAGTTGTACTCTATTTATGGAAGAAATATCAATACAATATTACAAATCCTTTTGTTAAAGAAAATAAAATACAGAAAACAAGTGACGTATTTAATCTATTCCAATACTTTGCAATTCATTAAATTCATTGAAATTATAAAAGAAAAACATTAAAAATATATGCAAATAATGAAACAAAACATGTGCAAATTGATCAAACCTGTTTTTATTAAGAAAATGTATTCATTACAGTAGTATTTTGACAAAAGTGTAACCTAAAATGAATTTGACATTATATAGCACATTTAACAAGAAAAAGTGTTTTATGGACTAATTTTTTAAATGTTTCACCTGACGGTTTCACGTTTTCAAGTGAATTTCCATTATACAGACAAAGTTAATGCAGTTTGTATCTACAATTATATGCAGAATAGAGAAAAATTGGATTCCCTAAGGTATGCCCAAAAAAGAAAAATTTAAAATGTTGCAGGCTCAGTTTGATATTTCATTCCTATTCTACAAAAATAACATTTATATGATAGTTGTTTTCTTTTGATACTGATTCCTTAAAATGATATTAAAAAAACTTATAAAGTCTCTCATTATTATATTTTTTCTTTCAATGGTGCACACGCAGGTAAACCAACCACAAAGTTATTATGCGTTATGTGGTTTTATCATTTAAATCATACGCAAATATTAAAAAAACAGCATTCGTTTTCATTCAAAACCTGCACACTGCTTATGTCTTACAATACAAAAGGCATTCTTTCACATAAATTCTCATTTGGTAGGTAAATAATGTTATAATATAAGGCAGACTGATAATGTATGGTAGTCAGTAGACCGGAATATTGATGGTGCTTCATAGAAACCACTCATTAACTCTCCTAACGATACTTAAAGATTGCGTAACATGAGTGTATTTTCTATTTGGAAATGGAGTATTGAACAAGTAACTTGAAAACTAGGAAAAACTACATGACTGCACAACATACATAAATACATCAATACAATCTGACATTCTACTCAATGTTAATATTTTTACGCATCTGATCTGGAGTCCTTGCCATACAGTAATTAATACGGATTTCTCCTACAAATAGTCGAAAATAAATTTGGTTGCATTAATCTTAGCATGTAATCTCATTTATAACTCCAACACCATAGACTTTTTCAGTATCTTCTGGTACACAAACCACAACTTTTAAATCAATTTAAGCTTCAGATATTCTCTTTCTCCATTCCACATTTATTTCATTAATATTTTCACATAGTTCTGCAATTTATTGATCAACAGTTTAAAATAGTGCTAGGATAAGATGCCCGAGGCATATTTAATGGTTTTATTAATAAGTATTTTGTTATATACTTTATTGTTCAAAGAAAAGCGGATACGGCTTAAATAACATGTCAGGTATTCAATTCAGGGATGATTTGTACTATTGTTGCAAAGAGGGTCATATTTTATCGTTAGATAGATTGGATACTACGAACCCTTTGGCAGCATTTTCTCCACTATTATAAGTATGCAGTAATACTTTCGAAAACAAAACTTGCAGTTTAACAATAATAATATAGTTACGAATACATTTTTAATTTCTTAAATTGACAAAATTCTCAAGATTTAAGGTGAAATACAAGTCAAAAACAAATGTCCAATAGGAAATGAGGATTGTTGTGTAAAAAGAGTACTGGATTGAATATACACGACAAAGAAACCTTTTATATTAAAAGTACAACATCGCATTCATAAGAATTCAATATGCCAATGAAAAGGTATTTGCCTATACACTTTTCATTGTTCATATATTTACATTTTTCTAAAGATAATATGTGACTAATCAAATATACTGTCTTTTTGTTAGACCATGGCAAAGTAATCCTACAATGACTTGACTTAAATACTTTGCCTTAAGTAAACACAGCACCTCTTATCTATGTTTTATCTTTTACAATGATTGATGCTAATTTCTTTTCGAAGCATTGATATTATTTTCGGATCGTGAATATATGATTAAAGCTGAAAAAGATCATCTTGACACCTATTTTTACAAAGCACTCTTAAATCATTACATTGTAACCTACATTTCCGTACATAGAAACCCAACAATGAACAATCAAACTTCGAAAATTGATGTTGATTGTCTTATCTCTTTAACAACTGTATAATCTTTCATCAGTCTAAAGAAACATGATATCTTAATGGTAGTCCGGTTATATTAACATGTCATTGTAATTCAATTTAAGCTTTTAATCGATCTTAAAATTGTAGGCTAAAGTAAGAACTTATTGTTGAATCGCAAGGCAAGTCAATATTGTGTTGTCTTCTAGCTTAGTTTACTTACATAATACACAATAATCATATTTCGAAAAGTTAATAAAAACAATTTTGCTGTATAAATTTATGTAAGAATGGGGTCAGTTGACAGTATTTGATTGTTTATATATAGAATTTTTTTTGAGAAAAAAGTACAATCTGAGCCTGTCCTGCATTGATATTTAACTAGAAAAATAACTGACAACGTTACCTACTACGTTACGCTGACAGTTGATTAATTTGTTGATATTTTAATTCATATATCAAGCCTGCGTGCCTAAAGATAATAAACACAATATGATATTGTTTTACACCGTAATAGTGGACTTGACCGCTACATCATTTAATAATTATCCTAAACGGACAGTAAACATCAAATATTTTAAAAATTACTTTAGTATGTTTGCCGATTAAACATTTTATTACAGTTGAAAAAGAAAGTGTTGCATTTTCAAAACGTTATGTATCGCCAAATGTAAGCACGCTCAATAATCGTTTTGTAAAATTCTGGCGTTCTTGTAGTACATTTCGAATGCTATGAAACAGTGTTACCATGTCAGTGATCCTTTGTTCCTTTTGAAAATAACCTTATTTCATAGTTACTGATTCAAATTAGCATAATTTACATGTAGCAGATAACACGTTTCATATGAATTTGACGAAATGTTCCGCTCCTCATTAAAGCATAATAGACAGGCTTGGCGTAAAGTTTAAAAGGGAAAAATGTGTCATATTTAGATTTGACACATTCATTTATGAATTTTTCTTTTCGCAAGTCATATTAATCACTTTCAAATTCGGATCCTTGAACTTCCGAGCATTTGTGTTATATTAGGTAACATGATCTTTTAGAACGACCCTCTTTAAATCAAAAGTCGATAGATTCATTTTCATAAAAACACACCCCATAAAAGTTGATAACTTTATCGTTCTGATCTATGCAAAAGCATAAAGATTCCCCCGTAACAGTTCTTTTAACTGCTCGGATACATGCGAGAGCCAGAGATAGTACAAGGATCATTTCATCAGCATGTCTTTCAAGTAGCTGAGTCATTATAACAAGATTTTACTCACAGAATAAGGAACAATGCGCTTAATTAAGTAGAAAAAGGGTAATCCCTCGAAGGCAACAAAAACAATTTTTTTACATTATACTATGAAAATTGCAGACTGGGTTTGATCGAGTCTATTCATGAGAGATAATGTAAAAGTGCAACATCTCTCATGCCTGTAAGCACCGTCTTAAGAGGTATACAGATGATCAAAGCTGTAAAAGCTCATGTACTTGCGACGGAAATCTTAGTTGTTTTTTACATAGATACATCTGAACCTGAATACACGACA